TTTATATATTAAATAATGTATCATGATAAGATATAATATTATTTGTATATCAACTTCTATGTGCTATAATTACAAGTAATAACATCTAAGTGCAAACATTAGTTTTTTATTCTTCAATTTTTTTTTTTGCTAGCAAATAGAAATTCTTTCTCACCTGGAAACAACAGCTAGACTAGTGGGTACAAGACAACTAACAATAGATGATCTATTTGGATCAACATCATATGATATAGAACCAGTATTACTACTTAATGGACCATAAATTATACCATGATGAGCAATAGATGTATGTCTACTTGATCGACCAGGTAACGATGATTGATCATTAGCAAAATCAACTCCACGACGCCGTGCTGATTCGTGACTGTTATATATATATATATTAAATACACAAATGGGAATATGAGACAACAAAATAAAAACAATTGGCTAGTTTAACTTACAAAGAACGATCAGTAAGAATCATTGCTTAATAGAACTTATTTAAATCTTTATAGTATTCGACGGCGTATCTTAATATGACTTGTATGAGAGAAGAAGACGAAGAAGAAGAAAGACGATATTAAAAGTCACCGGAACAAAATAAGAAGAGTAAGGCAACAAGGAAGTCGAAGAAAATATGATGATGACGTGCGCTAATGAGAACATATCCATCCATCCCTACATACATACATACATACAAGAGTAACAACAACAAACATCAATGAGAACCGAAAGGCAGAAACGATGAAAAAAGAAGTATAAGAAGAGAAAACTGCTAGAAGTGGCAGTAGATATTAATATGAGACGATACTAGTCGCAACTTTATGTTTCTGTTGTATCGTCCAGTGACGTCAATATCAAAAAAATAACAACATCCACCACTATCACCCCTAGTTACAACTAGAACGGTTTGTCCATCATCAACCCCATTCTTCTATCATCAGATATGACCTTCACATTGTTCCAGTTCTAGCAATATGTTTGTTCGCATCTCTTTCTTTTTTTTTTTGTCTTCTTATTTTTCCATACGAACAACGTCTTTACATGACGTACCATTAAAACAAAAGAAATAAGTCGGAGGTCTGCCTAACTTAAGTGGATGCAGAACAAAAAACCATTTTCTATCATGTCTTTCTAAATGTATATTTATATCATGTTTCTTATAGAAAGCAAAACCAAAAAAAGAGAAAGAAATACATATTCTCATTTGATTTTTTCTTGTGAGACAATTTATCAATTTTAAATATTAATTTAATTGAAATTTAATTGAATGAAAAAAGTTAATTTCAAATTCATTGCCCTTAATATTATATATTTGAAATACAAATGATTTATCATATTGACATATGTGTTATATATTTATTTTCTATCACAAAGAATGCATATATGTATATATTTTAATTCCAGTTTTTTTTCAAGTGAACATATTACAGTTAGTTGGTTTTCTATATTGTTTTCTTTGGTCGATATGTATGTATACAAAACAAAACAAAAGAAGAATTTTTCTTCAATACTCAACATAAATACTTGGTCTTTGTTTTACTTACGGTATATCATTAAAAAAAACAAAAGAAGAGAAATCGTCAATTTTGAATGTAAAATATCAAACAGTAATAATTGCCATAGCCATCTTTCTTTTCTTTGATATTATTTATGATTAGATACAAAAATCTGTAATATTCAACTTAACTATAATTATTAATAATAAACTTTTGGACTGAATGTAAAAATGTATTGTCTAAGAGAGTTTTTGTATGTATATACGTGTATATATATATATATATGTATCTTTTTATTGTTTTTTTTTCTAATCTTATAAAAATACTAGCATGTAAATCAATCAATTCTATGCTAGAAAATTATACATTAAGAACGAAAGCGAAGAAAAACTAGAAGAGAAGTCTATTTGACAGATAGATGAATGAATGACTTTCTGACATACAACTAACAAATAACTTGATATGAAAGATGTATATCTAATCGTTTTTTTTGACTAATATGTTTAGTTAGTACAAAAAACACCATTTATGTCTTTGACATAGATGGTGTTTTTTTTCTTACATATACTTACATCGGATGGTCACTCAATGTAACAGGTTGCCAAACTGTTGCCATTGTCATCTTGACAAATCGTGTGTCTATACTTTGTTTATTACTATAAAATCTTTAATATTTGTTCATAGATATAAACAATCACTCGTTGCTAATTTTAATTCATCATCATCATCATCATCATCATCATCATCATTATATATATACATATAAATCTCATCGTTATAAAATACACATCTAAACTCGTAGTACTTTGTCTTTTGTTTGCTTTCCGAAACGGCAACAGTCATTATACTCTTCATTTTTCTTCCATTGCCGGTTGCATTGGCCTAGTCGTTTCTCATTGCATAGTCAAGAAGACGCGAAGAAGAAAGACTGTAGAGAAGTATTCATAGGCGATGAACATGCGCTCTCTCACACACATACTCATTCTTGCCGTCTTCTTCTTTAGTTCTCTCTTTTATGCTACAATCCTTAGGTTACATGAAACTCATTCTCTATTCATCAGTTGAAGCCAACAAGGAATGCTTGCATGTCGTGTCGAAAATTTCATTGAGCGCAACAATGAACTGACGCTAGGAGATATTGACATTGTGTATATCATTCTTGCATATTTCTATTGAACTAGTAGTGTTAGTCAGATAGAAAAAAAAAAGTTAGTTCGTTTTTCCCTCCTTTCTTTTCTCTTTTTTTTTTTTTTGTCTTTTGTCTTGTTGTTCTCTCTTTACTAAAAAAACACAATGGTAACAAAAAGGATATATTGGTTGCATTCAAGCCAAATTTAGTAATAATGACAACAATAGAACAAAAAAAAAATCAGCAAAGAAAAAAAAAAGCAGAAACTATGACATTGATTCACAAGTATATAATTCAATAACTTTTCTTGCAAATAAGTAAAAGGCCTTGAGAAAATAGAGAATACTTAAATAATTCATAAGTATTATTGTTATTTAAGTAGACGATGTTAACTTTAAAAAAAGACGAAATAAAAATAAAACACTTACAACAATTGACTACCACCATATTTAGCATGTTGGCTACCTATTGAACCATCATAATTGATCAATAAAGCACTTTCATGATCACGACGTTCATTAGCTTGACGACGAATTGATGTTTGTGTTTCACTAGAAAAACAAACATCAATTTTAAGCTCTTATATTCAGAAAAAATGACATTGTCAAAGTTTATCATTCATTTGTTTATTTAAGCATGGAATTTATTTACAATATTGTTTTGTATACATATGATTATTTATGAAATGAAATTCATACTTTAGAATTTTCTTTTCCAAGGATATATTCTTTGACTAGAACATGTGAAATTACTTCCAAAGAATGACAAATAGAATATGATTAAAAGAAATTCTATAGGGATGATTAGATTTTTTTTACATTATCTACAAATAGAGCTGATGTGTTCTATAATACAAATAATTAAAAAAAAAATCAATTTTGTCTAATAAATCATCGTTTGATAAATTTTATTGTGCACTACCATGTGTAAAAGGTAAGTGCAATTTTTGTTTTCATTTTCTATTAATAGAAGTTAATGTTCGACTTTCTTATAGGTGACATATTTTGATTTACAGTCTACATATGTCGTGTCCACAAGTATCGTGCGAAGGATATCAGAATACACTTCATTAAATATATATATGCGGATCTCTCTTCTATATTCGAAATAATTTTTGTTTATTTTTTTCATTTTTAACAAAAAAAAACAATAAATATTTATAGCAAAAAAATATTTCTATTCATTATTCAATATACATTATCAATAGAATATATTTATAGCAACTGAATAATTTTTCTTCTTAATTATAAAAATCCTCTTTATTTATGCTTCAATTAGTCAACTAATTATTATGCACGATTACATGTTCAGTAGTTTAATCATAGCGAAAATAACGATTATATTACTATTTCTAATAAAATAATATTTTAGAAGAATAAAAGAAAAAAAAACATAAAATAAATTTTATCCTAATGAAATTAAAAACTTACTAGTCATTATAATTTGAAGCAGCAGCGATTTGAATGGTTACTGGAGTTCCCATGAGTCTTGTATATACCTTTTATTTATCATAACGATTATTATTCATGTTTTAAGTTTCAGCACGTCAACAACGAATGTCTCTAACATATGCCATTCTATTGCACTTCCAACTACTATGTGTGTGTGTGTGTGTCTACGCTCGTTTCTACTTTGCGTCTTTCTCTATAAAAAAGATATCATAGAAACCAGAGATAGAATCGATAAAGCGAGACATGAATAGAGAACTCATGGTTCCAATATTTTCTTCTCTCTATTTCTCTCTTATTTGACGATAGAATTTGCGAAAAATAGCTAGACATGTTGATGCTGTTGGTGATGAAGCGCATCGAACAGAAGGCGAAAGAAGCAGAAAATTTTCTTGTCTCTTAATTGTGCTCTCGACTACGGTTTTCTTCTCTCATTTTTTTTTCTAGTGCTTGTCTCGTTTCCTCATGTTGAACTTCATCAACACTTTAACATCCGTTTTTTTTTCTTTGCCTCGTCTCGAACACCATCATATATCTTTCCAATAGTCAAAACACATCATCATGAATGCAATATATATAAATTACATCGTATGCAAGAAGCCAAGAAAAAGATTGAAGTGAGGCGGAAATCTAACCATCGCTAAAGTACACAAAACTCCAAGCATGAAAAAGAAATTATCAATTTTTCCAGCAAGTAAGCTGTCTTATTTAACTCATCCCATTTTTTTTTGCAAAACAATTTTCTGATTGCCAATAACATTCTTGTTAATCTATATTGGCCATATGTCGAGTAATTATAATAAAGGGTGTTTATCTAGATTTTCTTTTTTGTTGGTTTATATACGTTTATATATATATAATACAATTGGATTCTATTTCGAGAAGGATATATGTCTTTATGTTTATTGAGGAATGCAAAACAATATAGAAAAATGCTTATTATTAGTAGTGCCATGGATAAATCGGCATTCGTTTAGAATCATCATGATAAATTAATCGACTTGATACACGTTCCGTATTTCGTCCCCAATCATCATAGCAACTTGTCATCCAATTACCATTTGACACTTTATGAGTTGATGTTGATATTGATGAAGATAGTTGTTGATTATTAAAGGCAGGCAAACCACGATAATCGCGTTTTGTTACACTTCGATCTGGATGAACGGGAAGTGGATCATGTGAAAGAATCCAATCAGTATGATGTCTTGCAGATTGTGGTATTAAACGTTTACCAAAACCCTATTAAAACATAGAAGAAAATGAAACATTGCGTGTTTCTTGTCTTCGGAATGTAAATTTTTATTTACTTGTCCAAAATATTCTCCATAATTTTGTATAATATTTCGATTATCATGTTCTGAGAAACGATTATTATAGGTCTACAAAAAAGAAATAAATTTATAAATCGACTTAAAACATGATAGAATTCTATTAACTTCTCGTCGTCGCATAGTAGCTATTTGTGAAGGAGGTGGTGGTGTAGGCGGTAAATTATCTGATAAAACAACGGGTGGTGGTCGAGGATCAACAATTTGATAGAGCATTTGACCAGTTGTTGTTGCTGTTCGACGATCCAATTCTGGATCTGTATAACCACGTTGTTTGAACTATCAAATAAAAATCTATCGAATCATATTTTATGAAGTCATTTTGAAATTAATGAAGACAATACTGAGCAATTATTTTGCACATATAAACAACAAGCAAATTAAATTTTCTTAAAAATAAAATTTTTCATTTCATAAAATTATCCAATCCCATAGAGCTATCAGCACATAACAAAAAAAAAAGCAATTAAGCAATAGAAATATCTTTGCAAAGGATAGTATACATTGTGATATATTAGGGTTAAATATATATAATTGAATGTTTTTACTCCATAATAATAGCTATTTCAAGACATTTGATTATTACCATAAATTGTATTATTCTTTAATCATATCCTGGAAAAAGAAAACCTTTTTCTTTTTGGGTATATATTATTATTATTTTTGCTTTTTTTTGTCTTTATATTCATAATTTACTTTTCTTTTGAAGTAATTATAAATAAAATAGACTCAAACAAAATCAAGAAAAAAAAAGAAAAAGAAAACTTGAGTTCATTCATTTCTTTCTCACCCAATATCCAGCTGGTTTAGTTCCTTTTGATGATGGTGGTTGAATATGACGTCGATTTCTTATCAACAATGAATTCGTTGTCGATGGCTTTTCATTATCAAACAACATTGTGGTTTTATTTATCTAAAGAATTTTTTTAATAATATATTTGCATATATATATATGTATATATATTGATGCATGAATAAAATCAAAAATAAAAATACAAGTCTGTTGATTTTCGTTTTTTTCTTTTTTCTTTTTTGTCTACATAATGTACACTTTTTCTGCTTGTGTTAAATCATATGTTTCTTTCGTACGTGGACATATAACTTTGCCATTATTAACAGCAGCCATTGCTTGTAGAGTCTAAAAAATATTTGAATACAAACCAAAAGAAATAAAATAAAGAACAAAAAAAAAAGAAAATTATTAAAATATATTTACTTTTGAACCATAAACATAACCATTTGGTAACATTAATGGTGGATTACTTTCATTAATTGGTTCGCGTGATTGTGCACAAATTAATTTTGATACAGAACAATGAGCATATGGTAAAACTTTAGCAATTGTTTTTAAATGAACATTACATACAGGACAATTAGCATTTTTTACAGATGAAACTTTATCAAAACATGTTCTATATATTGAGAAAATAAAATATTTATTATTAGAAAATAAATTCTTCTTATCTATTTACGGTGTTTTTAAAGCTGATAAACCACTTTGTAAAACAGCAGTAAATTTACTTTGTTGTCCCATTTGATTTAATTTAAACATATCAAGACGAAATTGTTCAATTAATTTTGTCCATCGATTTTCATCAAGTAATGTCTTTGAATGTATTATTTTGTTGTTAAATAAAAAACAAAAACTATATTTCTATTTGATTACATACTTGATAGTCATTATTTAATTCTTTTTTTGATTGTTGGGATAAAACAAGTAAACCCATAGCAGATTGAAATTCATTTAAATGTTGTTCTGGTATAGAACCATTTAAATATTTTCGTGCATGTACTATTGCTTCGGAACGTTGATTATTACGAACAAGTTCAATAAATTCTTGTAAATGTATACAAAAATCAAGTGTACTCTATAATAAATACGACATTGAAGACAAAAAAAAAAAGTCTTAACCAAAAAAAGAAAAAGAAATAATAGAAAATAACGAACGCCATTCTTTTTTAATTTTGTTTTATTTTCATTAAACCAAGCTAGACATTTCGATACATCACGACGCGTTAATGATTCTTCAATTTCACGGCCAGCCAAATAAATTTCCGAATTAACTAAATGCTAGAAAAGATTTTATTTAAGTAAATCAACTATTATCTTTTTTTATTAATATTAGATTAAACTTGTTCTGTATTATATTACATGTAGAAGAGTTTATTTAAAAAATTCATAGTAATATAAGCCTATTACGCAGATAAATCTGTCATATCATCTTTCATTACAATGTGCATCTCAGGAGATATTAATAAACAGTCTTGTCTGTAAATATAAATGGTGTTTATGTTCCTATGGGTACATATTTCATGTCGTGTAGTACTGAAATATTATATTTTGTTCTGACTTCATTTCATGATATGTAGATATGAATAATTGATATTTCTAAAAGAATTATTGTAATTTTCACTCTATAGGTTTTATTCTCTGAAGAAATTTGTAGTTATAATCGCAATATTTCAATAATAAATAGATTATGTCTATACTCATTTAGCTCCCTTTTCTTCTATCCATGACATTAGTTATTTTTTGTCTGAATAAACACAAGTCAAGTCCATATTCATTAGAAGGTTTGACAATATCTATTCAAAAAGAAACAATATGTTTGTTGCTATGAGAAACTTAATAGAGAGCAGGTCATCGATCAAATCTTTAACAAAACATAAAATTTTGAAGAAATGTCTCATCTGATCACTATAAAGTTTACCTATTTGAAAAATCTCATTTTGTTTTTTTATTAGGTCAAATATTTCTGCAATAAAACGCAGGTATGTATGTGCAGTAGAACAAAAAATAAAACACAAAATCATCTATGTACGTTAAAAAAAAACCATTATTTTTATTCAATAAAATGTCGTTGCCTCTTTCTTTTCTTTCACTAACAACTACATCATTATCAATTATCGTCTGTGCTTCTAATTCTATTTTTATTGAGAATGATTGTGTAGGCGTGAATATTAATTACATCTACACCCTTCTCCTCTATCTTTTTCATTTTTTTAAAATAGTTTCTTACTTTTTTTTTTAGTTTTTACTTGATATATTGCATGCCTATGTTTATGATTGAGTAGCAAAAGTGCTTTTATGATTGTTAATCATTTTTTCATTTATTTTTCTATGAGTTATGTTTGTATAAAAGAATCAGTATTTTTTTTTTCTTTTTTTGATTTACTTTTATACAAAGAAGTTGTCTGATGCCATTGATTGTATGAAATAAAAGACTAATTAATGACATGGATGAGTATTACCAGTATGGCAAGCTAATTATCTTAAGAAAAAAGATTTAATTAAATGGACGGCTCCTGAAATATCCATTTGTCAGCTTTGCTAAACTGAACCTAGCCAATTAGGCAGTCTAGTTACGTATTCCGAAAAACCTCGTTTATCAACGTCCTGCATGACAATCAGAATTCGAGATAATATGAAATAAAAGCGAGGTCATGAAGTTTTGAATTCGCATATCAAAACGTGTCTTATATTTTAACTTTTTTTTTCTATCAAATATTTTAATAAATAACATAAAAGGAAACTATAGATAAAAGACTACTGCAAGACACTGTTAAAGTTGTTTATTACCATTCTATTCATCAATTGTTTCATTTTAATGTAGTTTAAGTATATCGTCTCATCTCAAATAGCCTGTTTTTTGTACATTAATCAGGTGTGAATAAGAGTGAGAGTGTATACTTAAACTATAGATCTATATCAAAATCATTCCTTTTTCCTTTCACACTTCAAGTACAGACAGGTAAATTTCGTTTGATGTTTGAATATGTAGTTTGATAAATATCACATTATCAATTACATCTACATCAAGACGTGCTCGTCGTACAATATCGTATTACGAATAATATACATTTTTGTTGAAAATTATTCATACAGTCAAAGAAAATAATGCAAGCATTATATCTCCATTGGGACTCCATCATTTAAGCTACAGTTTTTACGAAAATAAATAGTAATAACTATGATCTATTAGTATTAAGTTTCAGTTTGGCTAAAAAAAGCATCATAGAGGTCGTCCAAAACAAATATCTCTATGAATAATTGTGAGTTAAAGTGATATACATAATTTTTTTAACCTTTTTTTTGCCGTAAACAATTATTTAACAATGGATTATGTTGCAATGTTATGCAAGTAGACTATATTTACTGTGATACATTTTAGTAAAAACTATAGATTAAGTAGCTTATTAATGATATAGACAAGATCTATTCTTCTTCGACACAATGATATGTTTCTATTAACAGGATAATTCAATCAGAAAACTTATTTTACAAACATACGTATAAATTTTCTATTATCAAAACAAATAGAATAGATCCTTACTAAACATTGATTTTTCAAGACTTTTTGTATTTACAATATTTATAAATAACGTACAAATTTCAGCTTTAATACCTATACATATAACTATAAACTTTAAGTCATAATAAACTCTACTGAAGATCGAATTCTTTTTTTTTTGTCACAGCAGTATCTCAATTTACAAATTTAACGAGCTATTATGAATATGTTCGTATAATTGATTCCAAGCTGATATAATCAAAAATTCAAGCAGTGTAAAAACAAATGTCATTTAAACAAACCTCAATTCCTGTTGCTTTAGCAAGTGCTTGAGCAGTTTCAAAACATCGTGTTCGGAAAAGAAAATCAACAAGAATGCGTTCATATCGTTGTCGTCTCCATATTTCCATTTTTGATAATGAACTTTTATCATAGTCTTTAAGATGATCAACACGTCGTTTAACAGCTTGTAAACATTCAATTTCATCATCACGTAATTCACGAGCCTAAATGAAAAAAACAAAAATTTTAATAAATTAAATCAAATTTAACAATTATTACTTTTCGTTTAAGTGTCATAGCTCGTTCAAGTACTCGTTTGAGAGAATCAATTGTAGTTGCAGATTGTGTTGATCGATCTAATTCAGCAACGGATGCAAGTAATTGAGCTGAATCACGATCAATTTGTTTTTGTGCATGACGATATCGTTTATTTAATGTTTCATATGGTACCTATTATAATACGAACATTTTACAACAAAAAAAAAATGTTTTGGAATACAAAAACCAAATACTTTCTACCTTAATAGTAGCGTGTTCCAAAACGCGAACATCATCCAATGCCACATTGAACATAATTCAATAATTCAAAAAAAAAATGTTTTTCTTTTTTTTTTCTAGAAAACTAACATGCAACAATAGTTGTTTTTTTTTCTAAAGTTTGAAACTAAACTTGAAATAAGAAAAAAAAATGTTTATACACATATATTATTGATAATATTGTTTTTTTCTTTCCAACAGTGTTTTGTGAATACATTTTTTTTATTGTGTGTGTGTGCGTGTATGTTTGAATATGGAAAGAAAAGAGCTATTTATCCGAGTTAAAGAAAAAAAAAAAAAAAAGAAAAAGAAGAACACAGACAATTACTTTCCAAGCCGAAACAATGAAGTATTTTGTATAGAAGACCAACAAAAAAAAAAAAAGAAACAAAACAAAATGACACATCACAAAACATATATTCCACACAAACACACACACTTACAAATAGAACAGTGTGGAATGAGAAAGAAAACTACAGGCAAACATACACAGAAGCAAACTACAACAGTAGAATGAAATGAATGTACAACACAAGGAAAGAAAACAACAAAACGAACTAGTAAATTAGTGCATTGAATCTCCACCAGCTGATTCTCCACTATTGTTATTTCCATGTGAAGCAGCTGCTGCTTTAGCCGCTGATTGTAAAGCCGATTCGCCAATACTAACAGGTACTACAACAGGTGAACTATTACCAGTAGAAGAAAGTAGTGATGGTGTACTGCTACTTGATGTTGCATTTGTTGCCGTTGTTGATGGTGGTTGTATAGATGATGCTAAAACGGG